ACGTGATAATTGCACTATTATCAGACGTTAAGAACTTATGGACTTGTTGCCACTCTACCACATCCTGGGTATAGGCCATATATGAAAAAAGGGAATATAGGACGTGTACATGCGGTCTACCTTCCTAAAGTAAATACTAAATAGAAAAACAAAAATCTTTCTAGATTGTGTGGTCTGAGATTGGGAAGTCACTTTGTCACCATCAGATGTGTGGTCTGGACCAGTCCAAGCCTTGGCGCTCCCTGTTAATGCTGATTAAATTAATGATCTTATTTTATATTCAAGAATAGGTACCAGCATTTACTTTTTCTGGTCTTATCCAAGACTAAGGATGTACCAAAGTTTCAATCCAGTTGATTTAACTAGTACCTTGCGTCATAGAATAATCTCCAATGACTTTTACTTTCTATGGAATTTTGTAGGAGCTTGGTACAGATGTGAATCTTTATGCTTTGGTATTCGGGGAATCTGTTTTAAATGATGCTGTAAGTTTCAACTGGTTTTGTTCACTGATTTTTCTCTTTATCACGAGGATGGTTTTTGCATAAAACTGGACACATTTCATTGGGTAAATCAATATTTTATTGATTTCTGTTTATTTCTTGTATGTTTCACTATTGGAAGATGGCAATTTCCTTGTATAGGTATGTCAAATTGCATTTATCCATCACTAATGAGAATAAGATGCACTTGCCATCATTACCATGCTGCTGATTGTTTTGTAGGACAATGTCATTGGTGAGGAGCAATATGTCCTCTGGACAAAATTTTTTCCTGATCATTCTCAGATTTCTTGAGACCTTCGTTGGCTCAATGTCAGCAGGTTTGTACTGCTGTCCATTTGAGAAACATGAGTAGACTCTATCTCACTTTTTGTTGATGGTAATTGAAAACCTTTAGATTTTCTCTTGTTCTTGGTGATATAAAATCATCTGGACTTTTTCGACTTTCCATTTGTTATAGCCAAGCTTAAGATTCTTTTCTTTTCACTCCTCCGAGTTTCCACTGTTTTGAATTTGTGCCATAATAGTCAATATTCTTTTTCTCTCTCTGTCATGCCCTACTTTTGGGTGGTCATGTGGATGAATAGAAGGCGTGAAGAGCAACATTGTAAAGCTTGATTGATCAACAAAGGAAATCTACCATTTCCTGGGGAAAAGTTACTGGCTAACCCGAGCAAAAAATTTCAGACTGATTAAGCGGAGTTATACCTGGCTAAATTTCAGTACTTAACTGACTGCTCATTGCTCTGGAAAGACATGAATTCACGATTCAGGGACACTCATAAAATAGTCGGACTACAAGTTGTTTTAAGAATTGTTGTAGTTTGTCCCACCTGTGATTCAAATGTTCTTGTTGATGGAAGCTGTTTGTAGAACTCCATGGTTTGCTTAAGGTTACAATGGTGTCACTTTGTAACTTATTTCAGGAAATAGGGAAGAAAAAAATCATTTAATTGAATTTTATATTGATGAAACCTAAATAATGGTATAGTGAAGCAAACCTTAATTTTTTTGCCTACTATCTCAATGTATCTTGCTACAGCTGATCTTGGCAATTTCTGGTTCAATTCATTTTGTATCATTTTATATATCTTTTTTGCCGTGGGTACAATTTCGAGATAAAATATTCAAGGCCACTAATCATAAATTGTTTCTAAATCTACAGGGGTTGGAGTTGGATTTACATCTGCTTTGATATCCTTTTGAATTGCTTTATTCTTCCCAAGATACAACTTGCACTGAATTATTTTTAGTTCATAGCACACTCGGTTAATCCTTAACTCCCAGAACCTTTTCAAGTATGCTGGCTTGGACATTGACAAGTAACCACATATTCTTTATCTAGTTATTTGCCAACTTGTGACTAATCTATATCAAATACTTACTGAATTATTTACTCCGTACAGTCTTCAGAACTTGGAATGCTGTCTGTTTGTCCTTTTTCCATATTTCTCGTAAGATGCTTCTGGGATATTCTATTTTGTTTTATTCACTCAATTCTGCCTTTTTGCACTCACTTTGTTTTCTTCATTTTCAATTTTCATTTAGGTATATGCTAGCAGAAGGGCTTGGTCTCTCCGGTATCGTATCCATATTGTTCACTGGAATAGTAAGTGAACTATGGTTTGAACCTGGTACTCATCTTTCATTGGATAATTTATTGTGATTTGACATGGTTACATGGGTGATTTATGTGTCAGGTCATGAAGCACTATTCATATTCAAATTTGTCTGACAATTCTCAAAAATTTGTATCTGCATTTTTCCATCTGATATCTTCATTGGCTGAGACATTTGTGTAAGGAATCATTTCACTTTAATGTTGTTGGACCATTTCAACCACCTATACTGATCTTTTATTCTCTTTATTACGCAGATTTATATACATGGGATTTGATATTGCCATGGAACAGCATAGCTGGTCCCATGTTGGATTTATCTTTTTCTCAATTGTATCCTCGGGTTATTTGTTATATATATAATGGATTCAGTTTTACTTGATATACTGATATTAACCAATAATTTTTCTTAACTTGCTCCATCATTACCTTAGTTGTTCATTGGAATTGCTAGGTACGTATTTTGTTGCCTAATCCTATTGCTGATATTAATGACCATGTGAAATTGTTCTCAATTTTGGTTTGATTGCTATCAGATGTGGGTGACAAAGTTTTAAAATGATTATGCATAAATCTAATACCTTTTATCTTTGTTTTTGGAAGAGCTGCAAATGTGTTTTCTTGTGGCTACTTGGTGAATATGTTTAGGCCTGCGCATCGTCAAATACCACCGAAACATCAGAAAGCACTTTGGTACAGTGGTCAGTGGATAAGAAACTTTTAATTCTTTGATCAGCTTTCCCTTGCGTCCTTCCCCAAATTGTGCGCGCGCACACAATCATGGTTTAATGTTCACACTCATGTATGACATCCATGATTAGGACTTCGAGGGGCTATGGCTTTTGCTCTTGCGCTGCAATCAGTTCATGATCTTCCAGAAGGGCATGGTCAAACTATTTTCACTGCCACCACAGCAATAGTTGTTCTGACGGTAGGTAAACAATTTGTTCTAAATCAACTAAAATTTTTGGGAGGACCTTTAAATGAAAACACTCATTCAAGAGCATTATATATTTGATTAAAAAAGCATTTGTCAATTTTCTAATTCAGTACATCGTAGATGTCTGTTGAAAAATTAAATAGTATTGCAATTTTGATCTAAGTTCCTGAAGGATTGGAACATAACTGGGTTTTGTAATAGTTCTTTCCACTTTGCCATGGATCTTAGCCTTATAAATTATGTTTTTGCGCTGACTTCGTCTATTAGATTCTGGGTTTCAATGCCCCTGTTCATGGTGTCTTAAAGTCATGCCTTCTGGTTTTCTTATATTTGTCATTGCTGGTTCTTTTCACAGATAGTAAATGAATATACCTTGATGGTTACTCTACTGATATGAATGTCATTTTAAGGCTTCAAGTATCGAAATGTAAATGCTTATGACAGCACCTGTGGCAATTGCTAAGAGAAAATGTGCATTAAATTCTTAAAACAACTTATGTATTTGTTATTGCAGATTGAAATTTGATGATTACGTGGTGCTATTTTACCTACAGATTTCTTTGTCTAACGGCCACTATATTCAATAGAATTACGTATTGACAAAAACCAAATGGAGCAGGGCCAAGTTGCCACTAAGACCCATAGAAGAATATATGAACAATCTTAAGTTTGTTTAGATGTCTGACATGCCTGGCCGTATGGGCACTTTGCAGGTCTTGCTGATAGGAGGATCAACAGGTACCATGTTAGAAGCTTTACAAGTTGTCGGTGATGGTCATGACGACTCATTGAGTGATGTAAGTTCATTAGTAGATAATCTTATGGCCCACCTACCTGCATTCTGGTGATTGTACATTGGTGAATCAGTTTATATAATTTACTACTTCCTATATTGTGTGTGGGTCCTACATAACTAACAACAAAAAAGGATGACCATTATCCCTGATCCCTTGGGAAGTAATTTTAGTTGTGTTGAAGTTATCCTGTCAAAAATTATTATTCTTAATTTGATTGTTTTCTATCCTGCTTCCAGAGGTTCGAGGGGAACAATGGCTATGTAGCTCCTTCTTATGAAGGAGAAGAATCATCAACTGGGAACAGATTCAAGATGAAACTTAAAGAATTTCACAAAAGGTACCATAACCAGTCTGTTGTTGGACTATTACTTAAATCCGTTTTCAAGTTCTTTAATTTGAAGTTCTTGGTTCTTTCCTGCAGCACCACGTCATTTACAGCACTAGATAGGAACTACCTCACTCCGTTCTTTACAACTCAAAGTGGAGATGACGATGAGCATGGTAAGATAAGAGCATAGATATAGCTGTCTTAGTTGATATGCCACAAAAATAAAATTCATGATATGACTAATCATTAATAAATATGGACACTATCGAAGAATTTGTGCCCTCACAGCACGTGGCAAGTGAGCGGGTTTCTATCAGTTATATTATTCTTGCAAATCATAGATCACCTAGCGTTTTCATAAAAAACTGGTATTTTCATCGAAGTTCGTTTGATGCTTTTGCAGATGAGCTTTTTCACGACCCCAGAAGAGGGAATTTTTGAAGCCACGACTAAACTCCCAACTAATCATTGATTGGTACTAGTACTGTAAGTTGGAATTGGCTTACATGGAAAAAATATGTGAACATCTTTGTCTTTAGGAATATACCTCTATACGATTGTAGGCTCTATGATTCAGTATAGAAACAGTAGGTCAAATAGGGTTGATTAAGGTTCGTTGGATCTATTTCAATCAGAACAACCTAGTTTCTGTACATGATGTGTGAAGTGCTCAGTATGGCTATCGAGATTTATCGAGTGGCTGTACATGTTCAATATGTTATGTCATTCCTGATTTTGCTTCACTTTGAACCAAGTTAACTATTCTCGTTGTTTCATCTTTAGTCTTCTTAACTTTTGCATCAAGGCTTGCAAGTATGAGATGAATAATGCAATGCCAACTTTTCACTAGGCCTTTGTTTGGTCACGATTCTTACTGGATTTTAAGAATAATTTGGACTGTTGGAATAGTACTGGGGCCCTATGCATCAATCATTATTGAGTCAACATCAAGCAAATTCCTTGAAATGCCCATCTTTCAAATACAATGAAATAAATGTCAAAATGGTACATAGGTAATTTTGCTTGGTTTAGTCAATAAATGCAGCTGTCTTTTTACTATATAACAAGCTTTTCTGAAAATAGCCTGCAGCCGAGCTAAATGTATAGAGCCTGTATGGTAGGGATTTTTGGGGGAAGAATTGATTTTGAATAGTGATATGATGGGAAATAATAGCCTGCAGACGAGCTAAATGTATAGAGCCTGTTTGGTAGGGATTTTTGGGGGAAGAATTGATTTTGAATAGTGATATGATGGGAAATGTGTGATTGAAAAAGAAGAAAAAAGTATTGATGTGATGGTAAATATTATTTTATTGAAGAATGTGTGGTTGAAAATGAGAATTGATTTGAGAATCAGAAACAAACAGGGCCTTAATTTTGTCTTACACGCCCTCGTGTGTCTAGCAGAATTCGTCGACTTGGAAGGGGTCACTGGCCTCGGCTGCAACATTAACCTGAGTGAAGGAAAATGAAATGCTAGAAAGAACTCTTTAGTTACAAAATATTCCCATTGAAACAAGAAAATAGGCAAAAAAGGGGTAAACGGCATCGAAACTCAAAAGTCCCATTCAGGGTGCTTCATCCGAATGGTTGTCTACACTGCCAGTTCTCCTTGCTCGATATAAGACTCGGTCAGCTTCATTTTCTCGGCTGACCCTTCAAACTTAGCTCCGTCGCTGCTGCCTCTAACTCAATCTTCACCTTAAAGTCTAGAATCTAGATTTGTTATCTCCGCCTTCTTTTCCTGGGTCACCGAAGCCAAGGAATCCTTGAATGTCACGTATCAAACCAACGAAGAACTCCAATTTCAAACTGGTTTTCAAACAACTAGTTAAGGATCTTGATTGGTTGCTCAATTTTGATAGATTGTAGAGAGTTCCATTGAATTACAACTCATTTTAGTCCCCGCATAGAATTACGAGGATACGTGTCTTGAAAACATCTTTGATTGATCAACCCAAATACTCGTAATTCGAATCAAAGAACTTTTTTCAAATATTCTCTTCTTTGTTGGGTTGATTTTTGAGATATTGGAGATTTTTGTTTTTTTGGTAGCTCCACACGATGCTAAAGTGTATTTAGAGAAAATTGGGTGTCGACAGAGTGGGTGGGTGAACTTGGTTGGAAGAGAGAGAATTTTTCTAAATTCCTTTTTTTTAATGTGATAATATGTATTTAATTGTTTTACGGAAGATTTATTTATATGCTTTTTGAAAAATAATTGAGGATAACTTCGTTACATTTTACAAAGTTTGAGAGCTAAAAGTGCAAAGGTGCCTATTAATATTGATTATTAAAAGCAGTAGATCCGTTAACCACATAATTAACCCGGCCCCGGGTGTAAATCTCCAGTCCTACTTTCTACCCAAGAGAAAGATCCGTTAACGTCCCATCCTCGTATATACCCATAACGGCTAGTTTTTCAACCTTTTCTTACACGAAAATCCCCTGCCTCCTTTTAATTTCTCCCGTCGGCCTTCGAATCCGATCGCTACGAAATTTTTATAGTTAATCTTTGTTGGCGTTGGAGTAATCTCCTCCTCGGCGAAGTTGAAGAAAAATGATCGAATCGACTGTCGGAAGTCCAGCTGAAGCATCGGCGGAAGTTGGAGTTCCGTCGCTACCCCAACGGCGGCCGAGGGTGCGGGAAGTCAGTTCACGATTCATGTCGCCTTTGATTCAATCCAACGCAACCCCAACCCCTACACCTTCTGAAAAATCGCGATCAAAATCAGTCCACCGCAGACATTCATCACGCGACGAGAATCATGTACCGGAAACCACTCGTAGCTTAGACACCCCGCTCGTTCTACCCCAGACGGTATCACATAATAGATCGTTAGCAACAAATAGTGTAGCTACTGTTCAAAAGAAACAGCAGCTGCAGCGATTTAGGCATTTTAAGGAAAATGGTGAACAAAATCAACAGCAGCAAGCGGCTTCGGCTGTTAGAGTTTCTTTGAGGCCGGACACGCCGATTGCGATTGGTACCGAGCGCATTGTCCTATCTCGATATAGGCAAACTCCCCATAGTGTTAATCGAGGCAATCCGATGAATAGTAGTAGTATTGGATGCACGGCTGTTACGGCTGCCACTAGGCTATTGCAAGAAGCGACTTCTAGTAGCAACAATTACAGAGAAACTGTGGACAAAAAGCATTCTAGAATTTCTACATCTAGATATGATGATTCGGATTCTTGCAGTACTGCAAGTGGCCAGGGTAGTTCTTCGTGCCCCAGTTCTCCACTGTTTATGCAGACTACCAAGGCCCGAAGTCTTCCTGAGACGCGCTCTTCTGTGTCAGATGTGGATAAATGGCTTGCTGAGAGGAGTTCTAACAATGCGGGTAAAGTCACTAGTGATTGTGCTCGCTCACTGAATTTTTCGTCGTCTGTAAAAATGGGCGGAAGTCTTTGCCTGCCTCCTCACCCATCATCGTGTGTGAGACTGGGAATGGACGCAAAGAAAGGAAGGAAGGTCTCTAATCATCAAGAAGATGTGCATTCTCTCAAGATGCTTTACAACCATTATCTGCAGTGGCGATTCGCCAATGCAAAAGCAGAGGCAACTGTTAATACTCAAAAAAGGGAAACTGAGGTTTGTTTCCATTCTTCTTCGAAATTTTAGGATATCTGTATTGTAGTTCTGATTATTCCCTCATTTTAGTTCTATAATCCATCTCTCTTCTTCAAAATGTTTCTTTAATTTGCATTACAAATGGAAATGGATAAAGGACTTGCTCCTTTTAATAGTATAATATTGAATTATCAATCTTTTTTTTTTTCATTTATGTGCAGATAAAACTTTACTCTCTGGGGAGCAAGATATCTGATTTACGTGATGAAGTGAAAAAGAAGCGCAGTGAACTTGGGATGCTGCAAGGAATTAAGACTTTATCCATGATTGTTGAAGCTCAAGTAAGGCTTGATCAGGCTTTTTATTGCTCATCTTATGTTGTGACTTTTATGTCAAAAGGCATATAAATTTTGCCTGTTCACAGTTGCATTTATTGAAATGAAATATTTTATACATTCATGTATCTACTCTAGATGGCAATCATGAAAAGATATTCACTTTTAAGAGCTTTCCTTGATTACTGAATTCTAGATCAGCTTTCAATTTTATGTATAAACACTGCAGAATTTGTAGTTGAAAAGACCTTCTTACCTTAACGAGCGACGCCATTTGCATTTGGAAGATGGTTTGTTAGTCATTCATCAATTGATTTTCCCATATGTCAAATAACGTGATTGATATTCCTTTTGATTTATTCTATTATTTTGTCATTGTTGTGTTAGTCGTTACAGTTATCACTCGTTTTCAGAAAATCGAATGGCCTTATTAAAAAGAGACATGAAATGGTGAAGAAACTAAAAGAAAAAAACAGAGATGTCATTTTTTCTTGATTTTTTTCTTGCATTTGTTATCTTCTTAATGGTTTTTACACCTATAAAAGAGGAAGTTTGGTCGTTTGGAGAACTTTTTTTCTTTCAGCTTTGGTGCTCACGTACTTTGCTGGTTATATATTAGATGCCGTATCTGGACGCATGGTCTGCTTTGGAAGAGGATTCTTCAACTTCTTTATCAGGCATATCAAATGCTTTGCTAAATTCCTCACAAAGAGTTCCAGTCAGTGGGGAAGTCCGGGTGAGATTAATTCTGCTAACTAAAATTGCATAGATTTCCATCCATATTTGTTACCTTCATGTAAAGAACTGTGAACCATGGGGTAACTTTTCCAGGTTGAAGTGAAAGACTTGCAGGAGGCTTTGAGCTCAGCTGTAAAGGTGATGAAACTGATAGTTTCCCATGTCCAGAGACTTATGCCGAAGGTGAGTCAAATTGCCAGGCATTTATCCCATAAATTCATGTGATATATATTATATATGTTAAAACACACTATAGAACGCATAAATGTTGAGGAATTCATACTGTCTAGAATATTTTGAATTTCTTTTTCTATTAATTGTTGGAAGGGCCTGTAAATGTGAAGGAAGTCATACAATTGTAGATGTATCGTGTTTATACGTGATATAAATGCATGCCTCATGCCTGTGTTAACAATGCACATCTTCAATGCAGGCTGAAGAAGTGGATACCTCAATTTCTGAACTAGCTAGGGTAGTTAGTGGAGAAAGAGCCCTTATTGAGGAATGTGGGGACTTACTATCCAAGAAATATACAGCACAGGTTTGTCCATCTATTTCCTCTTAGAATTGTTTACTCTTTCTTGATTTTGTTTCTTTTTCTTTCATTTAGCATATCCTTTCATTTTTTGTTCATTTTACCCCTTTGACGTTGAAGTTCTTTTCAAAATATACCTCAATCCATGAAGAAAACGAAGTTAGAAGGGTGCTGCAGAATTATTATCATCTTCTCACATAAATACGACCTTTTAAATTATCGCTCAATATTTTCAGGTGAAAGAGTGCAGCCTAAGGGGGGCTCTGATCCAATTACACCGGAGTAATAACTGTCAAACACAGCAAGAGTGAAGAAGCATAGAGGAATTTAATTAATTCATTGAGCTCTTTGCATCAAGAGTTCTAAATTGAGTTCTCTTCTCCTTTTTCTTATTACGCCCCCAAAGTTGTGAGATATGACACATTCTTTTAGTAATAAAAGAAATAATTGATTTTCTATTTGGATTTAGTATCATGGCTTTCAGGTTCTCTTGATTCTGCAAAAAATTCTGCTGGCAAGGTAATTGATTGGATTTAACTTAGCATATTATGTACATAACAACCAATTTAGGCTCATAAAGAATAACTTTGCAGCAGCTTGAGAATCAGGACATATAGTTGATCCGGAAGCTGTTATAATTCCTGTAAATCCCGGTGTACCCATTGGCGTGTTAAATTACTACACGAAAGTAGGCTTGGGGACTCCACCTAGTTTCTGTTCTACGGTTATTGACACGGGTAACTCCTCCTGGATCCAATGCGAGCCTTGCCACCCACAGGTCGGAACCCATTTTGATCCCTCAGGTTCTAGAATGCATAAATCCCTATCACGTGACACAAGCCAATGTTCTTCCCTCAAAGATTCAACTCTCAACAGTCCCCATTGTAGTTTTTCCAATCAATACACGGGGGATAAATCTTGCTCTTATGGTACCTTAAGTCTCCCAGCATTGTCGAAGCCAGCACCATCTAATTTTGTGTTCGGGATGTGGACAGGACAACGATGGACTCCCTTCGCAAGTAACTTCGATAACACAGCCATCATGGGAATCATCAACAGCAAACCTTTGAAATTCTCTATGATATTTCCAATTCAAGAATTGGGTTTGCAGCCGGTGGCAGCAGCTAGTTGGCACCCCTGGGTCCCTTTACCATGGCACTACCACTAATACATAAATCAACTACTGGGGTGCATAATTGTGTTAAAATAACAGTTAGATTATGATTGATGTATAAATGCGGATATTGATGTAACAAAAGCCAACTGACGTGTAAAAACGTCTCATCTTTTCATCATAAACTCCACGTGTTCCAAACCAAAGTACATAAAAACCTAAAGCAAACAACATTTATTCATCTAATATTTGATTTCGCTACCAATATAAATTCATTACTTTTTTTCCCAAGCAGAGATAAATTATTTGACAGTTCACTTTGGCAACAAGGTGTTGAATATGAATTAAACACCGATTTCAGGCAGTCTGTTCTCACTAACTAAAGAAAAGTCGATACAATTGGAAATTTCAATATACACACAATGCCTTAAAGAAAATGGCAAGTCAACAACGGCAATGTTTTCACTGGACAGAGAATTGTTCGTCATGGCCTCGACCGAAAGGCACCAGAGCTGCTTAAATTCACATTTCAGCTAGACTAATCAGCATTATTTGATGACGCAACAGTAGCACCAAAGCTATCCACAATCCTGCCACCTTTCTTGAACATGTAATGTGAATCCATGTAAATCAATGCAGAAGTTTCATATCCAAGAATGGGCAAGAACGTACCAAATTATTATATTAGACAATCTAAATACGAATAATTTCTGCAACGGTCGTACTGAAGAAGGCTACCATAAGTGCGATCCCACACCCCAATGAAGAGGGATTCTGTATCAGGACTGAAAGAGACTCCAGAGATCTCACCAAAAAAATCAATCTCCTGTTCTTTCTCATAACCATTCTTCACATCATAGACGTGGACAAAATCGGCTGGTTCAGCCATCGCCATGAATTGTCCATCAGATGTAAAACGGATTGATCTAATGGCTCCCAGATTTCCTTTGAGTACAGAGATAGACTTCGACAAGTTTCGAGCATCCCATACACGGCAAGTCTTATCTTGGTTCCCTGTGGCAAATAGGTTACCATCCGGATGCCATGCAGAAGCAAAAGAAAAATCCAAGTGTCCATGTAGAGGCATGACAGTCTAAAAAATCACATTGACAATGTAACAAAAGAATACATCGTTAATTTGGTCCACTATCCACATTAAATCTAGAAATAGAAAAGCGCATTACCTTCCCAGTTTGAGAATCCACAAGCATCCCATCAAGATTGTCTCCAACAATAATTATGAGTTTACCATCTGGACTCAAAGAGGTGTGCTGTAAAAGACAAAAGGTTACCATAATCTACACCTATATTTTAATTATTATTATTATTTTTAAGGGGATCAAAGGTTTTCAACCCGCCTCCCTACTATATTTAAATGAAAGTAAAATTGCCAATCAATTATTTAAAATATATAAATTACATTAGTTCGAACTTGCTAGGAGTAATTTTCCATGAGTGCTGTACAGAAAATGTGCTAGGATTGTTTCAAACATATCTACAAATTCATGGATCAATATAGAATCAGATGATCAGGACAAATCACAGTAATCATTTCTAAATAAGCAGGTTCATAGGCCATTGAATAGTTTGGTTTAGCCCACGTTGAATACTTTGGTTGAGCTCATGCTGCATACTTTTGTGAAAGCTCAACCCGGGGATCATATGGTTAAGGAACCTAGTGATTACTATCTGTATCCTGTGAAACGCATAGTTTCTCCTCTAAAAATGACTTTTCTGGTTGGACAACACATTAGATATTTACCTAAACCAATAGGTCCATGAGAACAGGATAAACATTTACATTCCAAATAAAGAACATGATGGGCACCACATAAATGGATGCATGAATATAATGGTCAACTCTAAGTCGAAGAACAAATATTAAGAGCTTGTTTGGGATAGATTTTTGAGGGAAGAATTGATTTTGAATAGTGATATGATGGGAAATGTGTGGTTGAAAAAGAAGAAAAAATTATTGATGTGATGGAAAATATTATTTTATTGAAGAATGTGTAGTTGAAAATGAAAATTGATTGAAATGTGTGGTTGAAAAAGAAGAAAAAATTATTGATGTGATGAAAAATATTATTTTATTGAAGAATGTGTGGTTGAAAATGAGAATTGATTTACTGTAGAAAAATTTAATCCCTCCCAAACAGGGCCTAAATGTATTAACCGCCTTTTTTTCACATGAAACTATATCTGTTGAGAAGAATAAAGAGCATTGCCCAATCTAGTGATGTAGCAGTTTGGAAAATAGTGGATCCAAATTAGGCGCATAACAGCCAACAATGCATTCAATCGAATCATAGCACACAAACTCAGACTCTCCGACTCTCCGAGTACCAATTATAGGCTATTGAAAGATGACCCAAGTACCACATGTTTTGAAGCCACACTGCAGTTCAGCCAAAGTCTGTGATCTAAATGCTAAGTTCAAACAATGCTATCAAGATTTGGAAATAAAGTTCATAATCATTGGCCCTCTTTCTTAAACCACAGGGGTAAAAGTTCTTTCCATTTATCACGAGGCAATTCTCAATCAAATATATCATGTACGCAACATAAGCTATCAAAATGTTATTACATCCTCACACACACCTTTATCATATTCCACTCACATTAATATTCTTCTCATAAACAGACGTGTATACAAGATATTGAAATAAAACTTTAGCAACATCTTCAACTTGGTTATTTTAAATACTAAACTTTTAACTCCGCAACCTCAAAGTAATGATAAGTATAAAACAACAAATTCGGAAAGTGTCAACAACATTAGAATTTTTAAATTTATTCTATTGGTATATTATAAACCTCAAAGAGTCAATTACAANAAATTTATTCTTTTGGTAAATTATAAACCTCAAAGAGTCAATTACAAATTTGACTTGAACATCTGGTTCAACCACTCTGAAAGCTATCGCAGCAAAAATCCTATGGATCTAAAATACACATTTTATATGCATTTTTATGTTTTCTTTCCCCCTCCAATTTTCAACAAAACCATAGACATCAATAAAAAAAATTCTACTAAAATGAGTACGAATTAATTCCTATTACTATGCCCATAATGAAAATTAATTATAATGAGAAACCAAACTTACATTTACGGGCCAAGGATAAGAGAAGTGCTTAACAAGCTGAAATCTCTCCATGTCGAAGTCTCGAACTCCGCAGTCATTATTTGAGGCAGTGAAATGAACAGCGCCACTGGTCGTGAATTAAGTGCAACAAGAACCAGAATAAGTAACTAAGTATAGAGATGGCATTACTGCAGTATATCTCAAAAATCCCCAAGCAGTAGACAGGGAGTTCAATTTGGTATTGTAAAGAAGAATGCAGATCACCTTGGACTGTTATAGATATCAATCGCATTGGTAATTGCATTATCCTCATAAGTTGTCCTAGTACAAAAGCTCACCCCAGGCCGGTCTAGATCCTGCATCAACATGAAGTACTCCAGTCAGTGAATCAATGAAGATCTTCACTATTTCCAGCATATAGAAAGGTTTAATGTTTGTTACTTCTAATTGTCCCATACTTGACACATTGCAGCATAACAACTAAATAGAATAACCGTATTTTACATGGGGAAGGAAAAATAAATTACGTAACTGAAGACATGTTTCTTCAAACAACTAGTGAAGTTATGAAAACAAACGGATACCTATTGGCAATCGAAAACAACGAGTTCTCTAATCCAGGTAGAAAGTGATACAAGAAAATAGAACACACCGGAAGGCACGTGTAATATACACATAAAGAACGAACTACCTTGCATATAAGCTCCCCCTGGAATCCCCCAGCAATCAACAAATTGTCACGCACAGCTAGAGTACTAACTTGAGTCTGAGTAAATCCTTCTAGTAAACTTCCAGGATGTTTCTGCAAAGATACAGAAAATCCATCCACCATTTAAAATTCCAGAAATTACAATTACCAGAAGGAAACATCAAAATAATGGACAAAAATATTCAGAAACCCAATCCTAACAAGTAAAATGCACCTCGCGTGGAGCCACATGCCCAGAAACATTAAGAACTTCAGTCTTCTTGGATGTCAATGAAGACCAATGCATAATTACATAATGTGACATGAGGTAAACATCATGCTTTGACGTAGACCAAACCAAGTTCCTCAACTGCAAGGTGAAACAACAGGGTTAAATGAGAAGAGTTTGATCCAAATAACCAAAAGAGAAGCTGCTACATATTTCAAAAGTATTGTATATAAATGCTCATGAGATTAAAATAAACATTCGCAACAACATACAAATCAAGACTGACATCAAATGAAGTGCTAAATCCAAGCATAAACTTCAGTAAGTCATTATTTGGAAAAGCTTAAAAAGTTACTAAAAAGTTGAGATCAAAGTCAACAATTAATTATAACAACACATTTCATGAGACCCGCAACTTTTATCAACTTCAACCATACATTTCATTAACTTAATATCAAAATCTATTAAAACTTTTATCAAAGCTTTATCAAACAACCCCTAAATAATGTCCAAAATCCAAATGACTCTTCATTATCTTATGTAATGCTAGCATGTGTAGCATAATTGTACAGCACATCGAAATTAATTGGACACAGAGATCTGAAATGGTATTGTACTGGATAGAAAAGCGTGACAGCATGAAATTTCACCTTGACTAAATATCAGAAACCCCTCATTAAAACAATGAGATCTGCTCTAGATTATATCATTCATGAAATTTTCGTAGATTTCTCAAAAGTTGGAACTGAAGGAAACATGGCAATTAAATGTCATCAGAGACATGTATTCTGCAGTAGTTGCATCGCTTTCCCAATAAAACACACGCACTCACAAAAGAAAAGGATTCAGGCAGGATTCCAAGATCTTCCAGACATAGAGCACACAGAGCTTTGAATCCAAATACATTACCACTGCTTTAAACATCTAGAGTTCAAAATCTGATCTCTATTTATATTTATTTATTTGATCCCAAGCTCTAGAAATGGAAGGGTATAGAACAACTTTACAAGTAAACTTACAATATTATATCCATGATATTACACCTTAAGAAAACCAAGCTTAAAACAGAATTGTAGGAGTAATGACCAACATAATTATCAAACACACAATTCTTTACGCATCATATATAATGTCTCAAACGTTCACCAGATTATAGAAAGATCGTTCTTCTTTCCGCACTGTGCTACACAATCACAGATATACACCTTTTTGGGTCCTATACATACACATAGCCAAAGCCCAAGGTAATAAATCTCACAATTGCAGGCGCACAGGCTGAAATGCTACTACATCTCAAATATTACAAGTAAGAGTATGAATTCAACAGTTCAATTCAAAGCATTTAAAAGGATCCAAAAAAATTCTTGAAGGAAACATGATTTTACTTGAAAATGAAGGATGGTTGATTTCACGGATCTCGTGTTCTGCCGGAACTCATAGTATGCCCCACCTTTCCTTGTTGGTTTGCATTCCTGAAAATCCAACAAAAAGGAAAGAATAAATTAAAAAGCATCCATTAACTGGAATCAAAATAATATATTCACAGTTTGACTTGAAACTGAAAGTTACCTTCACTGAAGCCTCTCCTGATTGCGGTATATTCTCATAATTCTTATACTGCTCTAGTCTAGTCTGCCTATATTTTTCCCGGGAAATGCTTAGCCTCTCCCATGGAATTCCTTGAATATCTTTCCCTCTCCTTGCCTCGGCAGCAGAAGTATCGGTTATCTTGTTGTCCTAATCCCATAATTCAGTTAAATCATCTCAACAATAGCAAAACCATAGGGTAAAAAGTTTACAAATCAAAATGCAAATTGTTAATAGTAATGTTCTTGCATTTAAATGCTATGCAAGTGTGCATTTTATGCATAAATTGAACAGACCAAATTTTCATATTCATCCTCATCTTCTTCATCAGACTCTGAGTCTCCCATCATCCGACCAGCAAAATACATATCCTCATCAACTTCCCCCATTTCATAATCACCATCCGCGTACTCCATTTCTTCCTCTTGATATGACATTATTTATCATTCAACTCCACTGACTGGTAGCTGCACCAAAAGCAATATAACCAATAATAATTACCAAAGTGAGACCCTGTGATTTGATTGTACAACCAACATATACATAAAGTGAGAAAAAAAATTAAATTTTTATATTTTGAATTACAATTTTTTCCAGTCTCATACATATAACACAACGAATTATGAAGTAAATCAACATATCCAATTAATTTGGCATTTATTAAGAGAAAAAGATTGAAAACCCCACTAAATTCGAATTTCAAATGACAAAAAATAAAGAGTATCTTAATGCACGAAATATCGTCCACCCCACCGAACTAAAAAAAGAAACCCTATCCCGAAAAAGGTCAACACAGAAAAACCGCATAGGATATGAATAATAAAACAAAAATAGAAAATAACGAAACAAAATTCACGTGAAAAAAAATGAGAACTTTGATGCTGACCTGCGAATTTCAACAGCCTTTTTTTTCAATTTTTTCCAATAAAATAAATAATTCTTGCAAATAATAGCTATAATCCAAATCGGGAATATCCAACCGGACAGATCCCTGATCTCCGGTTAAATTTTATGCCGGCGATATGTTCCGAAATTTCTCAATGGGCGAAATTGGATCTATAGTAGTCGAAGGGTTGGTTTTTTTCTTTAATTCGATTTTATTTAAATTATTTTTGAGTAGCTAATAAATAATTGCTCTAATTTGAGTCTCTCTCTGTATTGGAGGCATGGAATTTTTTTTTGATGTTTCACTGAATTTGATGTGATTTTGGTACGTTGCGTGGGGACATACAACAATGTCATATTTAGTAAAATAAAATGAATATTATTAAATGATTGAATTATATATTCGTTAAATATTATTTTGTACGAAGATAAAGTCGAGAGGTATGAAATTTTTCATGTTTCGTCCGTCTCAATCCTTTCCTAAAAATCTTTCAAATTTTAAAGCGTGTTATAATTTTATCCAGTCTATAGAGTTTTTGTTAGTGTTATAGTATTTTGAAGTTTTATCGTGTTTATTGCTCATTTTCATTTCTTTTGGCAACAAAAGTAGAGAGTGAATGCTATTTTATTTACTTTTTTTGTGTGCGAGTGAACAAGTGTCTAGTTGAAATGGACACGTGATATTTTGTGCGTATGGTCCATAATATTTGATGAGGAAATTACACACAGGCCTGGTTTTAAATTACCATTTTCATAAATCCTATAACAAGTTTAACTTTTCAAAAATCAGGTTATGATTAAAATATTTAATATTAATAATTAAATTACAAATTCCAATTAATCAGTTTACATTTCCCCCTCTCTCTGTGCCCTCTCTCTCTCTCTCTCTCTACCTACCTCACTCCGATTTCTCTACTCTCTGGCTTCGACTCCTCTCTTTTCCCTCGCCGCCGACACTGGCGCTCGAAGCAGCGACCAACACAGATCGTGGCTACGGCGGCGTTGGTGAGTTTTTTTTGTTGTTCGATTAATTTTTGACTTTCCCCCAAACCCTCGCTCTCGTCGCCGTCTCGACAATTGGTTGAGTCTTTTTGCGGTGGTACTGCAGGCATTTGTGCTAAGGATCGACAGTGATGATGGCTCTAAAGGTGGCGGGTTGGAGTTAGTGTTGGCACGGGATTTTTTTTTTCTGTTTTTTGTTGGCGGCGGACGTAGTGTGGTTGGTTGTTCGTGTGTGTTCGGCGGTCGTGGAGGTGTGGATCTATTTGGGCGCGGTCAGGTGTGATCTATTGGATGGGTATGGTGGCTGTTCGCGGTGGTTGCTGTGGTGGTTTTTCAACGGCGCCGTGTTTGTTGGTGGCAGATCTGGGGATGGTCTCGGCGAGGTGTGGGGTCGTTGCAGACGGTGGTTTTCGGTGAGGTGTGGCTTTGTTTGTGGTGGGTGAAAAACAGTGGTAGTGCTTTTTTTTTGGTGTTACGGTGTAGGCGGCGGCGGCTGTTGTGGTGGTAGTGTGACGGGGGGTGAAGGTGGTGATTTGGGCGGTGTTGTGGCGAGGGCGGGGGCGGGGTAGTATTTGTGTCTAATTATTTGGTTAGTTTGTGACCAAAACATTGGCGGAGGATCGAGACTGGGGTGGGGTGTTTGGTGTATGCGACCGATATTTTGGTTCATTGTGACCATCGATAAACTGTGACCTATAATTTTTTGATCCGTGACCAATGAATTAAATTGTGACTTATAAAATTTTAATTTGTGACCTCGAAATAATTTTGTGACCAATTAATTTGATGTCTTGTGACCGTAAAATAAGTTGTGTGACTTATTAGTTTTGTGATTTTTGACCGATGAATAAAGTGTGACTTTAAAATTTTTATTTTGTGACCGATGAACGAACTGTGACCTATAAAAATTTGAATTGTGATCGATAAATAAATTGTGACCTATGTAAATTTTGAATTGCGACCTAAAAAAAAATCTGTGACCAACTAATTTGGAAATCTGTGACTGTGTGACCTATAAATTTTGATCTGTGACCAACTAATTTTGAAATCTGTGACCAACGAATTAATTGTGACCTACAAAAATTTTGAGCTGTGACCGGAATAGTCGCCGGAATCGGAGTAGTCGCCGGAACGGTCGCCGGAGAATAGTGGTGATCGGAAAGTCGGTTGGGGTGGTGGAGGTGGGGTGGGGTAATTATATTAAATTAGAATTAAATATTTAATAAATAATTGATTTAATTATTCATTAATTATTAATTAAAAATTTTAAAAACCTGATTTGTGAATTTTCAAACTTGTTTTTGTATTTTTGAAAATGTGTAAAGTAAATACCTTATTTATGTATTGTTCCCATATTTGATTGTGCATATGGCCCATAATATTTGTTGGACGATGGGTGGTTTACAGCAAGACACATATGGGGGTGCTTCTTTTTTTTATTCGTTTTTAGAACATGTGGGGCCCGCCAGGTTGTGAGAGGCCTGGCGGGCCCCGGTCCATATTGGATTGTGCGACTGTTGTGCGATGTCAGAACCTAAAATTTCCAATTGCAATACACCCAAATGCATCAAACTACCAGATTTTTAGTGTCGAAATCAGGACCATATAGCAACATAGTCCTCACAGTTACAAATAGAGAGTTCCAGCAAATCCAGAAATACCTACTATATTCTCATATCAAAGCACTGGTACACTTGCTGATCTATGGGAACGAAGCAAATTTCAGAAACTATAGAGCCCAGAAATGCAACTGCACTGCTAAGAATCATATGTTGCTACCAGAAACTCTTCCCAACAGTTCATTGGCGACTGACATTCCTGATGAATGATCAAACTGCTTTCCGGTCAGGAAAACTGAATGTTGTTGCTTGTAACGTGGACTCAAGCTCGACTCCATTATCGAATGGGGAAGCACCATCTCTTGTTTACCGAATGCTGCATCTGTGCTCATTCTTTGCTTTTTTCCAGGTCTATCACGAGGGCTATCAAGTAATGAGTTTACATGACAACCAGAATCAGGGGTCAGAGGCTCCTGATGAGAGGAGAAAGATTCGTCAAGAGAAAGACTCTTTGTTATTGGATGCGCTTTGGCAGGCCTGTCCAGATGGGGAGGCTCGGATGTTGGAGCAGGGGTTGCTGGATGACTTTTGTTATCTGATTCTGGGCAAGTGTCCTCTGCTACAGGAGCTGTGACCCCAGAACCAGGAACTTCTGAAAGAGCTCCACTTAGTCGTTGTTGTTCTTCAATTATCTTCTTTAAATACTTCCCTTGGGCTTCTATACGTAACTGTAGCTGTCTTTGAACCTGTTGATCATTATAGTTTCAAAACCAAAGATTCGAGCCTTTTTCAATTGAATTAGTGATCCCAAGATTTAGGATTTTGCATTTTTTTTTTTAATTTTGTCCTTTCCCTGAGGAGAAAGCTCGACAGCAAAGTTTCATGGAACCATCTAGATCTTACTGTTTTAGCAGGTAAAAAATGAAGAAAACTGAATTTTCTCATGCCATTTCTGAATTTTAGAGAGGGATCAGTTGGATACAACTTTCTCATTTTTACCCAGCATTGCATATCAAAATATCTGATTTACATTTTTTGCAAATAGTATGTCAATTCCTGTATAATTCAATAGAAACTACAGAAACATTTAGACCTCTAAAAACCTGCATCTCCTAAGAGATGAACTTTTCTCCAACATAGAAAAGCTGTTAATTACCAGGAGAAGGCTGGGGATAAATTTAAATCATCACTGAGTTTAGCATGGATTCCTCATAAGGTGGAGAAAGAATGCAATATGGATTATCAAACTTTTCTACGAATTTTTTCATGATAAAATAAAGCAAAATTTTCGTACTTTAATAGGCAACATGTAACTGATATATCAAGAAACTTGTACAGGAAAAGCAAGGAAAAAGAGTAACCAGGGAGAAAGGGGCGGATGTGTACCTCCAGTTGTTCATGCAGACGCTTTTGGACCTCCATTTGCAGCTTAAGTGCTTCATTGATTTGCATTCCGCTGCAAGCAAAATGAAAGAGTAATGGCTCATATCGAAAGGCTCACTCATATGAATCCATAAATTGATAATAAAGAGAAATTTTTTAAAAAAAAAAAAAAAAAGGGTAATCTACTTACGATGAATCGTCCAAACTCGAAAGCATATCTCCAGATTCCTTCTTTTCAGCTTTTCCCCCTTCATAAAATTCAAAACAAAATGTGTTCAAGGAGCATTACTACAAGGCATTGATGCAGCGGTGGAAGCAAATTGGCACATTAAGAGACGACTGCATATGGAGTTCAGCGACTGTGCCAAAGGGATGTGTCCCAGCCACTGGCAAAAGGAGGAGGGCAGCCACCCCTGTAGCAGCCACGGGGGAATCAATTCCCTCCATGCCGCCCCCAGCCAGCCCTCAAGCTGGGGACAGGCGCCTCTTGATGCCCCAGGCTGGGGGAGGGTGTCCCTGGACCCGATCTGCTTTCTTTTTAATTGTCGTTCTTTATTTTTGGCCCCGTTGTGGAGGGCGTTTTGGTCTTTAACGATTAGCGTTTTTCCAAGTGTTAGGACTATTTATTGGCTTTTGTATTGCACTTTGTTTTCTTGGTCGTTCTTGAATATAACTTTGAGGGTTCTATTATTGTGTTCTTGAGAGATTGATTGTTGAGTTCACGCTTTTGCTTACGTCACACATCCTTGAAATTACAACATAATTTGAAAAATTCAAGCTAGGTAATAATACTGTGATGTCTGCATCGTTTATAAAGTACATACCATCAGATGAAGAATCTGGAAGATACTTGGCAAGTCGATATTTCTGTGTGCAATAGTCAGCCAAGTTACTGAGCAGACAATATACATAAAGACAGGCATTTGGAAAGGAATATCAAGGAATAAATACCTGTAAATGGCTTTTGACATGATAAATTGTTAGCCCCTGAACCCCCATAACTCGGAGAACACCTTTCGGTGTAGCACCTGAAATTGGAAAGTAAAATCTTACCAATTTTTCATGCTGATGCATAAATAAATGAAGAGTAAATAAATTTCCCAGCTGAAAGCTTAAAAGCGCATCAATTAATATATTTTTCAGAACGTGACACGAGTCCATCGTGAATATTTGAAGGTCAATATGAAAGCCAACTTATAAAACTTAGAGCTAAAATGTCACTTTGTCTTTCTTTCGTTTGTTAGGGGAACTTGGGCGAGTTGGCTAAATGAAAGTCAAGATGACTCACGATCTGGTCCACCAAGTTGTGCTACAGCATCAACAAACCGTTCATGAAGCTCATGTGTCCAACGAAGCCGCTGCTTAGAGGCCAGATTAGGATTGTTGTTGGCATTGTTGCCTGAGCTGATGGGATCCATTGAGCTGGCAGCACAGTCTAATGGCTGATTGCGAACTAACGGATTGCTATGGACTAAGCTTGAGGTAGGAACACCCTTTGGTTGATACATATTTCATTAATCTGTAGACAGAACTCCAGAAGTCATAAACATAAAATATATACTACCATGGTAAATTTGAAAATCCATAAACAAAAAGTAATGAATGGTCATGATGATAGAAATAAAACCTTGGGAATACAAGAGAGGGTGGCATCAAACCACATAACAAGAATCCATATGGCGGTCATGATAATTAGACACCAAGCTAAACCATTGTTTTCGTTAACTAAGGACATATGTGGTGATGATGCAGGGTCAAAGCTAGATTATAGCAAATTGAAGTCTATTGAGCCCAGATATTTTTTGATATCATCTACATCCAGACTTTTGTAAAAAAATGAAATGCAAAAGAATTGGTGCCCTGAAGCAATATTCACATTCCACCGTATGCCTTAAATGTGCACAAAATTTTTACTTCAGACGCATCTTTCTCACAAAATATTGAATGTTTGAAGCCTTATAGGAAGTGCACTAAAAGTCAGGATGCTCAAAATACTTCCTGTCAGTTTTGAGCTTCAATATTATCTCCAATCACTTACTGAAGAAAGAAAAGATGAAGGTTCCTTTTTCCTGTACTAAGCAGGATACTGGGGAGCTACTTATTCTTGCAGAGTTACCTATAATAGCAAAATATAATTTAGAATATATGTTCATCCCCTCCGAAAAACAGGTGCCTTATACATAAGCACGTCTAGATAAGTTATTATCCAACCACAAGGAACCATCAACTATCAATTTCAGAACACAAACGAGAAGTACAACTCAGAATCTCTTTTAACTTAAAAATCTTTTCATTTAATCATGCAGTGCTGCATGATTAATGACTATAGCAGGACCTTGGCATACGAGATAGATGGCAATGAAATTAAGGTTCAACTTTTATAAGATCAGCAGCAGAATAGCCAGGGTTCACTGCACAGAATGGATCTTATAAAGGCAAAACAACATTATGTTACTTAAATTTTCACTCGTCAAAATGAAACAAATACAAAGGTATAAAACCAAGAACATAATAATGTGTACTGAAAAAGGTGCTCGTGTCTAAAACATCGGCGGAATTTTAGCCTCTGCTTGGCTAATCTATAAATGATTTGTAAATCATTTATAAATGGTCGTTACTATCAACTTATCCACTACTCGTTTCTATTTAATGGCCTACTTGGGAGTTCTTCTCACCGATTTTGGGTGGCACCGTTTATGAGGAGTTGGAAAAAGTTGAGGCTACTAGTTTTTTTAGGCACTAATTTTGAATAGTTTAAAAACCACGCAAAATCGGTGTAGTGTAATTTTAATTGGTTCTCTCAACCCACCAAATCGTTGGGTTTTGGTCATTTCTCATATTCTCTTCTAATTTTGCCTTCTATAAAATAATTATTTAATCAATATATTTTATTCAAAACTAACTAGTAAATAAAAATATATTAACTAAAAAATTATTTATAAGCAAAAAAATTACATTATAATTAAAAAATCTTGTAAGTAAAATATTACTCATAAGATTAAAAAAACCCTTTTCATCTAAAATTTTTGTTTATAAAATAAAAATACTACTAATATAAGATAAAAATTCATTTATAAACTGACACTTTCACTGAGGCATATATATGTAATATTAATCTTCTATAAAACTTTCAAAATCGGTGAATAATTAACTCCCAGGTTGGACTATTTTAAAATCCAATACTAAAATCACTCAAAATAAAAATCGATCCGCTCTCAAAATCCGTATTTTAAGAAAAGCTCGTAACCATACCCTGAAACTCCCAAGCGTGCTCTAATAGTTTAAACTCTCCAGAAAATTACACCATAAAGATTGCAGATATACATCTGTGTGTGTGTTTATTGCAGTTTAGCCCATAATAAGTAAACTGAAACGAGCAAAAAAAATAATCTTTATGATAATAAGAATTAAAGACAGTAAAATTCGTCAGTAGATTAAAGAATCACTCATCCAAACGAGAGATTAAAAATTAAGCACCACTAAATTCAAACTACAGGCGTTCCATAGATTGTAAATAAACTGACAAACTTCTTTTTGAAAAAATAATTTTTAAAATCTCAAATAAGAGTTGACCAACTCCCAAAAGCACGTAGAAGAAATTATGAGCAAATTAAGATTAAAAAGAAAAATAACAGGAAATCCGTACCCAGATCTATGAAATTCCAGCCGCAATCCTCCAAATCCTTGAGCTTGCTTTAAACAATAACAATACAACGCAAGCCAACTAAAAATTATAACTTATTTCCCAAAGCTAAACAAAACCCTCTAAGTTAAAAACTGGATATTAAATTAAATTGAGTTTGATATACAAGTGCAGACAAAGGGTTTGAGAAGAAAAGAAGGCCGAAAGCTGAAAGTGAAAATTTCTGATGCCTTTTTTTGTTTATAGCTTCGTTCTTTATTTTATAAATGCAGTGTTGAGGTGAAATAAATGCAATCAAAATATATGTGGACAGACTGGACAGTCAAGGAGGAAGCCCCTGTTTGACTCTTGTAGAAATAAAATTCTTTATTTTGATCTTATTTTTAATTATACATTTATATAATATAAAATATTCTACACGTAAATTCAAATTTTTTTCTTAATTTTTTATCATACATTCTCCAAAAATTTATTATTCAAAATTTTTTTTCCCCTCAATTTCTCTTTTTAATGAACATCGATCAAAGACGAAATGAGTCGTAAAATCTTTTGCTTTAACCATGATTATCTCTAATTCACACCGTGACATTGCGGGCCCACGTGGGGTTTAAAACTATGTTACTAACTCGACTTCTAGTAAAGTTTGAGATATTTATTCAACCTTATTTTGTTTCAATTTGATCGACAAAACTACATAATAGGCTAGGTTCTTCTTCAGGATATGATATGTTGGTCTTGACGTATTCTTTTGATAAGCACCTCTATCTATAGGAAAATTTTGTGATCAATAGATCTTGCTCATGCCGCATTATCCTTTTTTTAAACAAATGTTAGACTCGATAAAGGTTAGTTTAACGCAAAGTAACTGCGAAAGTTTTCCACGTCATAATTGGGTGATTAAATTGAAACAAAAGTTAAACTTTCGACTATCACCAACTATTTTGAAAAGACAAAAAAAGGTATCTTGAAGGCGAACAGTCTAGAACCGGACATATTACCCGCAAGCTTGACCTAACTCGAAAACCTAACACAAATCAGTCGGTACATAATCACTTTTTTTTTTTAAATCAAGGTAAAATACCCTTGAAATTGACAATCTGATTCGGCTCGGATCAGTTGGCATCAATTTCTTGATATTGTTTCAATTTTCAAACTGGGCCAGAACGTGACCCCTGTCGCCCATAGGTAACATGAAGTCGAAATACTTGAAACTTAGTTAGCTACCTAGTAGTGTTTTTTTACCTGCTTGCATGGCTTAACTTTTACTTGTTCAAATTACTTATAGATTTTATTATATTTTGTATTTAATAATATGACCATTTATTAATACGGTGTATTTGTTATGTTATAATGAAGTGTGTTACGGTGACCAAATTTATCAATTATTTTCCTTTTTCATTTTATTTAAAACTCTGTTTTGATTTTGGAAAATTATCATTTCAGAAAGAATTACCAATGTGGCCCTGACCATATAGCAGATCTCTTTTAGGGAAAAAAAAAAGATGACGTCAAGTTTAAACCAGCCAGTCACGTAAGGGCCTTGGTCTAGAAGGACGCTGATTAGTCAGAATGTCAGGCTCTGTTCAACCAATTCATTATTACTACTGGAAATTTTTGAATTTTTGAAGGATAAGACGTATGAGATGGGGAAACAGTATACATCACATTTTTTAGTCACGTATTCTACATCAAAATATTTTGTTTTCATAATTTAAAATAAGGAAAAAATATTTTTTCGTACTTTTTATTTATTTATTTTTTAAGAATATGATAAAAAAAAATAAGTTATTTTACCCTATTTCAACGAACTTTTGGACGTAAAACTGTTATTAAGTTTTCGTTATTTTCAAAATACGTTTTTCCTCTTATTTTCAACTACACATTCTTCAATAAAATAATATTACATTTAAATCTAAAATTTTTCCTTATTTTTTAATTAAACATTCTCTATTAAAATATCATTCTAAAATGTATTTTGAGCAAGAAGTAGGGCTTTACAAAAATTTTAAATTTTAAATATAATTAAAATGGAGTGCAAGAAAAAAAAATTGCGTCGTCAATGCATCCGTGGAGAAATACATCATTTACACCGAATATGAATAAAATAAAAATCTGCCCGCGATCAGGTAAAGCCAAATTGTATGGAAAATGACGAAGCCTGACCGGCTACGGAATCTTCTAGGGTTATATTCCGGCCCTTTCTTATCTTATTATGAAAAGTACTATTATTGAATTTTGTCTTTTTCTTCTTTGGTTGTAATGTGTTTTGCCTCTTTATTCGATTTTTATTCTTGGAAAATTACTAGCCTCTTGTTCGTGTCAAAAGAGAGTTTCGAGGTTTGTTTGATGAATATTATCGAGATAAAAATGTATTTAAATAGTGATATGATGAGAAATATTTGGTTAAAAAAGTAAGGAAAAATCTTATTTTATTGAAAAATGTGGTTGAAAAATGAGTTTTGAAAGAATGTGTGTCAAACGGGACTCACCGTGAAAAAGGTAATGGCATTGTGCCTGCAGTAAAATTTAAATTTTACAGTGATTTTCAAATATTGAAATGTGAGATTTTTTTTTTTTTTTGGGTAAAATAACCACTCTAGCATAAAATGTAAAACTAATAACAAATAAACACCTATTTGATAGGGATTTAAATTCAATTTTTAATTTAAATCGAAGTCAATAATTAGTTTTAACTACATATTTTATGAGATCCACAACTTTTCAATCACATATTTCATCAAATGTTATCAAAATTTACTAAAAAATTGATTTAAATCCCCACCAAATAGGGGCTAAGCGTTAAGTCATAATTCGACGAGCAACTAGAGACATGCAGATAGTTTTTTACGACAAGATGAAATAAAGCCCATGTTGGGTAGCATTTGAAAAAACTATTTTGAATTGTATTTTTTTGAAGAATGTATGGTTGAAAATAAATTAAGTTGAAAGTAAAGAGAATCAAACAGGGGGCAAAGATATAAACCTCAATGACTAACATGAAATAACGTGCAAGTTGAGTGGTCTCTAGTGAAATTTTCATAATTATTCAGGCCAGTTTAATAGAATTTTTGAGAGTCAGAGAGTATGAGACTAAAATGTAACATTTATGCATATTTAAATAATTTTTTTGGCAGGTTTTATTATAATAAGAGAATTTTCAGAAAAAAAAAGTTCTAAAATGTCAAATGACCCATTTGATAGTGCTTTTACACGTCCATTTGATATAATTTTTGGTTTTACTTCAGTGCTTTAAAAAAGGAAAATTCTACTTGTACATCAACTTTTATACATCACCCCCTCACATGAGGGGTGGGACCCACTGCATAAAATATTTTTTTATTAAAACAGGTCCCACCCCCATGTGAGGGGGGTGTACACCCCGATGTACATTGTGATGTACAAGTAACAAAGCTCCTAAAAAATTCATGTCAAAAGAAACGACCCTCCTTTAGAAGTACTTTCACAAGGAACTACATTTTCAAAAAATCACACATGCATATTCAAAAACAAGTTTCTTAATCTTGAAACTACTTTTGACTTTCTAAAAGTCCCGTCTAACGATCTCTAAGATGACTTCGAAAGTTCCATAAAAAGTAAAAGCAAAACCCCAGAACCATTTCAATTTAGGTTTGTCCAATAATCTACTCCTTGGAATTTTTTATGCAAATAATGATGCGGGCCTGTCTATCGAATAGTTTCCTTTTCCTTGAAGCAATGTCAAGAACCAATAATAATTCATAATCAATTAAGGTTTCAACTACACCAAACAGAACCTGATATCAACATGGACCGTGTTACCCTATCAACATTTTTGTATTAATTATGAGCTGTATACCAGTAATCATCACAAAGGTGATATTTTAATATTCAATCATCCCAAGTTGAACCGAACTGAGTTCAGCCAACCAGTAGTATTGAAATTCTCAAAGAAGATTACAGTAATGACACGTCTCTCGATCTGCAATAGAAAGACACGTATGCAATATGATTGGGCCCCACACACAATAGGAGAGAAAACATGACTTGGATTAACTGGTTCATATATAATTCCTACCTTCAAATTCAGCAACTAACTCTACTCAAGCATCAGTCTAATGAGGATGAAAACAATGAGACAATTCAGTAAATTAAAAGAGAAATGACGATAATGGAGAAGACATTTGTGGGTACTGATAGAAATAAATGGAACGGTGAATATAGAGAAAGAAATCCGATCTTAACTCTAAAACATCGACAGCTTTAATATATAGCTCGAGAGGAGTAAAGTTTACCGTGTTTCTTCCCTTTTCACAGTCCAGAAGCAATCAGAGTCAAATCACAACAATTAAATTTTTATACACCATACCCAGTAATTCCACGGGAGTTAACTTGTACCGCATGCAAATCCGGGGTACGTAAATCAGAGTCACCCCACATGAGAGGTGCATTTGTTGAATCCATGTTTAGCACTCGTTTCTTTCCTCCAGGTGAAGACCCATCTACGGGCAAGCCTATAGGACTCCCATGAGAGGTAAGGCAGCTTTCAGTCGAACAATCAGCACGCTGCTGATGAAATCTAGGAGATACTACTTCAGGGCCATGGATACCTAACTCATCAGCAGAGTGTGAACTGTATGATCCAAATGGATTACGCACAGTACTAGGTTGTGTCTTCGTTCCTTTTTCAGGAAAATTCTTTACATCTTTGTTTGTATCTCCAATAATTTGATCAGCAAGCATCTTGCAAGCTCTTTCCAACATAGCCATGTACCTCTTCTCAGCATCCTGCCGAATCTGCAAATGCTTTTCAGCCTGTGTAAACAATTTAACCAAGTTAGTCAACAGGAGCACAGATTTGGAGGCAATTTTGTGAAAACCCGCAGGGGCATTTCTGGTTTAAAACTACCAAACCTTGGGTGATAGCAATCGTTTTCACCTCATTACAAGGAGTATTACTATTTCCCTTCTGGTAATGGCATGTAAGGTAACCAAGATTGGATAATAATGGACAATATTATGGAAAAGATAGAAGCTGAAATCGTGATTTAAAGTAGTCGTGTTGAGTACTGGATACCAAGTGTGCATAAATTAAGGGGTTAAATGAAAACATCAATCAACACTAGAATTTACAATTTTAAAAACAAATCAGAAGTCAAACTTCTTCTGGCTATAGAAAGGTTGATTGGTGGGATTCTTACTTCAACTTGCAGGTGTAGTTTACTTTCAACTTCCATTTGAGCTCTCAATGCTTCCTTGACTTCATAACCCCTACACACATCATCCACGTTTTAACCATCGTGTTGACTGAAGCATATTCACGCGATACGGAATTTCGGAACAAGAACTAAATCTCTTACTCAATTACATCGGAAGCCGGCAAGTTTTGAGAATTGCTGGCGCAAGGGCTATCCAAAAGGTATGAACCCGACAGTCCTTTCATTTGCCAAGTAAAGAAGTCAAATCAAAATAGAAATCCAGTTCTAGATTATAAGCATTTTAAACAAAAAATATCTTCAGATAGAATAATCAATTTGGATGTCATTTTCGGCTAACTCAACAGATGAAAGTTTCTCTCGTGTAAATCTGTTTGCTTCCCTTCCTAATTTTTCATTCTTCTTTTTGTTTTAGTCGGAGCAAATAGGATAGTTCAATGACCTTGTTGCATTTTCTTAAGTTCTTCATTTTCCTCTCTCCTTTTTATGGGAGGCACTATTCAGACAGAGCTACATCAACCTAAAGTCTATAACATCTCTTCATAAAAAAAATCAATATAACTGAATACAATATCATGTCACAGCTAATTTGGAAAGACTAACTACTATAGAAAAAGTCGCACAACTGGAGACCACCATTGGAAGTCATACTGAACCTACCTTCTTTTGAAGAGTCACCAAAATCTTTCCCGGATTGCTTACCTAGTCTATATTTCTGTAAAGATGCACGAAAAAATCTTGTCAAATAACTGGAAACAAGTTTCACCGACCTGCAAGCTCCGTATATAAATCAAATGGGAAGAAAAACCAAATAGTATTAAAGGAAAAAAAACCTGGAGGTGACTCTTCAAATGAAATAGAGTCAATCCCTTAACAGCCATTGTTCGCATTATAGCCTTTGGGGTAGCTTCTGCAACAGAATTCATGTGAATGTAAGTTAAATATTGGAAATTCTTTTATCTGTGAAGTTTCGGATAGAAATTCCCAATAATAGTCTATCAGGATGAGACACCTATTATTTCAAATTTCTCTAAAAAATAATTAGTTTATGGAATAAGTGAAAGTACACGTCAAAGAAATATAATAATGAAACTTCGAAGAAATTGTAGCTCCCAGTCTCATCAAAAGATCAGTTTCATGATCTAGAGATACGGGTTTAAAAGAAATTCATACAAATTTAGCTATGAGAAAACAAGCAGGCGTTAGTAATAATACATCCTCAATGAGGAGGGATTGAGGACAAACCTGACCCGACAAGATAAGTACTGGCAGTCATATAAGGAAACTGGCACCATGTTCAACCAGCACGTGATTTCTTCATCTTGAGGAGAATGACCAAAGAAGTCATTCATTATGCTTAGAAGCTATTTAATAGCTTTCCTTGCATTACCCAGGATCAATGGACTGCTAATTTGATAGCTTTTCAGAACAAGTAATACTGAAATATCTTTAAGTGCCATCAATTATTTCTGCAATTTAATGAAGCGATTTGGTCCAATTCAAGGGCCCTTAATGTAGCTCGGAAGTCTAGTAACTTTTTCAGTTTTATTTTCTTTTGAGTTGTGTAACATGTACATACAAGAGTAATCCCTTTCCTAATTTTTGGTGTTATTTATTTTTCTTTTTTTCCTTTTTGTGGGAGTTGGAGTGGGAGTGGGGTGGGGGTGCTATTACGAGAATGTGTTTTCAACCTTCCTGGTTTCCGGCAACTTGCAGCCCAACCAAAATGATAGGTGCCAAAACTAGTTAATGGAGTTGCTTTAGGGATGTTGGACGGTGTGGATCCTAATGATTTTTACTTGGGAGAATTTTTTGCTTAGTCTTCACATTATTCAATTCCATTCAAAAAAGCTCCATCTTAACAATGATACCCATTTTTGTTTGAAGTTTTCAGAGAATGTATAAAAAAACTTATAGTGATTCCAAACGGTAGATGTTTTGTGCCAATAAGACTGAGGGTTTTTATAAATAACTATAAAAATCATCTTACAAATTTTGATTCTTTGAAGCAATCGATAGCCAATTCTTTCCGAGAGCATCCCTATTAGAAATATACGTAGTATTCAAGTTTTACATAGCTAAATCAGTTTCCAAGAGAGAATCTCGCGATCCAGCTATAAAGCTTCATTTAATAAACAAAGATGTACCTATCATCCTTTCCGACGCATAATGCTCTATACTTTTTGACCATTCTGATTTTGGCTTTTTGTTAACTATGTAGGAATTAGGATGGTAACCTAGTAACAAAATTCTAATTTCGCTTTTCCAACCGATGCTCAAATCCAACTTGTTTGTGTTAAGATTTGAGCAACCATCCCAAAAGGTGAACCTATTAATTGGGTATCCGGTGACCCAATTCCACTATAAATCCGTCATCCACTCCATATCTAGTAGGTAACTAGGATTTTGTGCGCATATGGCCAACCGCAATTAACACCCCAGAAACACATTGATAACAAAACAACATTAAGACAATTGAAGCTCAAGCCTATCGCTAAATCATCAATTCTAGTTCACAATAGAAATCGCGGGGTGGGGGCCACCGATTGGGAAAAGATGCTGAATACAAAACACAAAGAAGAAAAATGGGAAAGAAATACTAACTGCTGGCGCCACCAAGTTGAGTAACAGCATCAACAAAGCGTTCATGGAGGTCAGCTGTCCATCTCAGACGAGGTTTTGGGTCAGAAGTAAGGACCAAACATGGGTCCCCCGCAGAACCCCTTTGGCTAAACCCACCACTAATATTAGGCCCCTGAATGTTTTCTTGGCTTAAAATGGTTTCTCGGGGTTGAATCAATCTGGGAAACATGGGGTTTCTTGAATCAATACAAGGGGGAAAAGACCCTGTAAAGAGATCTGGGATCCTTTCTTTTTTGCTTTCCTTTTCAGCTGCTTTACTTAATCGGGAAAAGGTGAATTATGATTAACTATCCTTTTCCCTTTCGTTAGTTTACAGAGGAAAATTGTCTTTTTGTTGCTTTTAGTGCTGAAAGTGGGCTCTTTTTTTGTTGACAGTTTGAGCAGCAGCGCAGAAAGTTTTTTGAGGTTCGGCTATTTTATTCCCTCCTGTCATTCCCTCCAATTTTCTGCAGTCTGAACTAAAGTCGCGCGTCATTCTCTGCGGTTTACGACTAGATTGTTGACCCCACGAATAAATGGAATCCAAAGAGAGAGAACAGGGTAGAAATGTGGTGATCGTGATATTAATAGCATTATTAATGGTATCCACTTTAATAGAGGTTTAATAACCATAAATAATTTTAATAATTCATATTGCCTCTCATCCTATCTACAACTACAAAGGTTGAATCTTGACGGGGGCACAAATTAGTTGGGCTCAATAAGCTACCATATCCACCAAGTAGTAAGTAAATTAATAAATCAAAGGTAAGGATTGTCTGGGCAAAAAATTCAATTTCCTACCGTTATTTTCAAAACTTGAGGCCCAGCTGTGAGAGGACTAGTAAAAAATTACGGCTCCATTTTGAAAAAAAGGGTAGGAATTTTGCTTTCTAGCAGAACCATACAGATTCTAAATAAAACGTATCATTGTCATTGTAACTATTTTTGACCACACTTCATGAGTTGTTTGCCTCAATTGTGTTATATGTACATTACAATTTATAAATTTATTTATTAACAGATGATATGACAAGATTTGATTGTTTCGAAATTTCATCAAATAAATAAGAAAGAAAATTTTCCACACTATTTTTTGATATCTTATCAATCTGTAAAAGATTATATAAAGAATGATGTACAATAAACATTTTGTTTTCCGCCCTACAAACCCTTATTGAGGCACAACATGCAGAGCCACGATTGAAATTTGATATTATTAGATCAGATACATATTTCCACTAAATTAAGCCCTTGTTTGTCTACCATTTTTCAAAAAATTATTTTCTACAGTAATCAATCTCTACTACACATTCAAATAATAAAATATTCTACACATAAACCGATAAAGTTTCTTTCAATTTCAACCTCACATTTTTCAAAAAATACTATTCATTACACCATTTTCTTCTCAATAATGGTTGACAAACATGCACTAAATAAAATGCTACGTGTCTAGAGAGATTGGACAGAGTGCATTACAGGGAAAGAGGTAGCAACCATTCATTGTACCTTGGACAAAAAAATAGTTTTGTCTCAGCCAATGCAGTGTTGCCACGCTTTTTGTACAATCTCCTTATACAAGGAGATTACTTATGTTCATATTATAATGGTAAAGTATGGTTTTGGGGGCACACTTCGAGGTGGACAAAGCCGTGCTGGGTTGGTCAGACTGAGTGAAGTCAGAATACATCTTGATACTTCATGCATCATCGAAGAAACTTATACGCTCTCTTGGTGTCACATTTATCTTTATTGAGACGACTCAAGATCTTAAAGATAGGCTTAGAGTATTTTCTTAATAGAGTGTGGAATTGTTGTGAAGATTCATCATAGAACTAGTACCTTAGTTGGACTTTCAATCTTTAAAACAAATAGCCACATAGAATGATCGACTATGAATAACGTTATTCATTTATAAAACATAATTATTCTCTATGAGCTTGCATGCCACATGGGTTGTGATAGAGTTGATTTATTCAACAATTTTACGAAACTTACATATGAAATAGAGTAATCAGTCAAGTAATGACAAGGATCAAGAATAATATATTTATTCCGTTCTATTCAGTCTAATATGCTAAGCGCCTTTTGGTGCACATTTTGAGTTCAAGAATGCATTTTTTTGTTTGATGTGATGCGGAATATGTGGTTGAAAAAGAAAAAAAAATTATTGATGTAATGAAAAATATTATTTTATTGAAAAATGTGTAGTTGAAAATGAGTACAAAAATAGAAATGAAAAAAATTAATGTGGTTCAATCAGGGGCTAATTATTACATTCGATAGACGTGAGTTCAACAATAGATACATACAAAACAACATAATAATTTGTGCTAGTTTCACAAGTTCTGTTCATAGGATGACAACTCTCTTATGTTGGTCTCATTTAACCTCTGATACACTGACAATTTGTGTGCATCCAATCTTGTTTCTTAGTCTCTCACCCAACTTGGCTATGTCCATCCCTTCTCCAATCACCACCAAGTTGTTTTTATACTCTCCTCCTAATGTTAGAGAGTTCACACCTGCAAATTCATCGTAAATATCAAAATTAATCAAATTTACCAAAGCAATCAAACCAAGGCCCTTTTTGGTGTAGTTAAAAATTAGAGTTTCAGAAGATTTTAATATACGTTGATCAAATATATTGTTGAAAAATTGATAAAAGTTGTGAATCCGAGTCTGAGGGCTAAATGAGTTGGGGATTTGAGCTCAAAGAACTCACTCTGCCATGGGATTAACACCCGGCTCTCGAATCGTCAACTCAGTCTACCATAAAAGCCGTAGTAAGAGATTATTCCTCTAAACGCGTTTACGACTTTCAGTGCATCGTGCTATCCAAATCACAAGTCTTCTCAAGATCTTAGTCGAACGAAAGGTATAGATTTGGAATTCTATTCTAACTAAGGATTCATGAGAATCAGGAAAACGATGCTGCTTGTAATAATCAATAAAGAGAGAGAAAGTATTTTTGAAATCATTCAATGCAGTAGGTGTAAAAAAATCTGATGCTCTGAAGATTTTGAGAACATATTTGCAGAAAAATATGAAACTGAATCAAAGCTGATGAATTAAGAGCGTAAATACAAACCATAAGCTTCTGCTGCAATCTGCAAGGCTTTTTTTTTACACTTGGAGCAACGCATCTCTACTTGGAACACGACTTTTTGCTAGAAAGAAATTAAAAGAATGTCAAAATACTTGTAAAATCAAGAAAAAGTATAACTGAGATACGAAGGAGAGAGTCCGTACCTTCATAGTTGTAAAGAATGTGTTCCTGCAATGCCTTCTAAGATACAAGAAATATATTTGATACGACCTTTTAAAGAAGAAACACAAAAGGCCCATTCACATGGTGCCAATGGCATGTTGACTGGATCAAATAACAAATGGCTTGTTCGGCAAGCCTTTTGCTCCTGCTTTTGCTCCTTGTAGAATAAAAGATTTTTACAAAATGATTTCAGAAAATTATCCAAACATGTTTAAAAATAATTTCTTCATCTCGAAAATAGTTTTCCGACTCTTCAAAATTCATGCCGAACGGGCCAAAATATCGTGGTTGGAACGCATTAGGGGATCCATCGGTACACTGCCCTTGTTTGGGCTCCATTTTCTCAAGAGAAAGTATTTTAGAATAGTAAAAAAAGTTGAAAAATGTGTGGTCAAAAATCGAAAGGTTGTAGATGCATTTGCAAATAAAAAAACAGGTGCTATATTTCGTATAGATGGAACATTTATTCCTTTCCGAAGTTTCGTATGTTATATCTACTTCCCAACACGTTAGAAAGGGTGTGGGAACAAGTCAATGCAGTCAAGGAAGAAATATATTTTGGGTACGATCGAGCTTCTTTTTGCAAGCAACGAGTCAATAAAGCAATGAAGGAAACGACATTTATTGAGCTACATTTTCCACTGCTTGAAATTTTGTTCCAATGAAGTATGAACGTGTTTAAATTGGGGTCTATCTGTGATTAATAATGCAGTAACCGGCCAATGAAATTTCACACTTTTTCTTCTCCGACAAGTACTAAGCGGGTGTGGTTTATATCCATTTTAAATGGAGGATTTGGCAGGGGTGAATTCGGAGTGGGTAGGAAAAAGAAGGGTTAGAGAAGAATTCAGATTTCTTTTTAAAGACGTAAAACAGAGAAGTCAAGAAAGTCTGCTGGCTAAAAATTTATCATTTTTATTGACACTTTCAATGCAAAATAAAACCAAACGAATGGTAATCGATCTGATAATTATTTTTTTTGGGCAATTGGAACAAATTCTAGAATCAATGATAGAAAAAATTATCACTTTAATTGACAATTTTCATAAAAAACGAAACCAAACTTTCAACATTCTTCCGGTGGAAAATTATACTAATCAAATTCAATTCCTAATAAAACAATTTCTAAAGAATTCAATTCCTTCTAAAACATTTTCCATCTTTTTCGACCACACATTCTCCATCAGTCTACTATTTCAAAATACATTCTTCCAAAATAACATAACTCAAATATGTTCTTCTCATATTATATATAAAATAATAAAATTTTAATTTTTTTAATCATGTTCAATTTAGAGTGTGTTTGATAGATATTTTTGAGGGAAGAATTGATTTTTAAATAGTGATATGATGGAAAATGTGTGGTTGAAAAAGAAGAAAAAATTATTGATGTGATGGAAAATATTATTTTATTGAAGAACGTATGGTTGAAAATGAGAATTGATTTANATTGAAGAATGTGTGGTTGAAAATGAGAATTGATTTACTGTAGAAAATGAAAATCTGTACCAAACAAGCTTTTAATGTATTAAGAACTTGTTTGGGAGAGATTTTTGGGGAAATAATTGATTTTAAATAGTGATATGATGAGAAATGTGTGGTTAAAAAAGAGAAAAAATTATTGATGTGATGAAAAATATTATTTTATTGAAAAATGTGTGATTGAAAATGAGAATTAATTTACTGTAAAAAAAATTTAATCCCTCTCAAACAAGGCCTAAGTATACCAATCTCCTTTTACAATATGCAATTGTCAGGAACTGTTAGGACACTCATGGTCATCAGAACAAGATTTTTTGGCCTTTTTAATAATGTCAAAAGCATTGGAATGATTGTGGTTCAGAATGTTCGGTCGTTAAAAAATTTTTTTTTTCTATAAATTGGACGTAACGCATAATAAAATTCTTAACATAAAC